AAAAAAAAAAAAAAAAAAAAAAAAAAAAAAAAAAAAAAAAAAAAAAAAAAAAAAAAAAAAAAAAGTAGCAAATCTGTATGTTATCTATTCATCTCTTTTTATTAACTTTTAGTAGAATGTAGATATTAGCCTTTATATATTAATAAAGACAATACTTTAAAAAATCAGCTGATTTGGCTGGGCGCGGTGGCTCACGCCTATAATCCCAGCACTTAGGGAGTCCGAGGTGGGTGGATCACGAGGTCAAGAGATCGAGACCATCCTGGTCAACATGGTGAAACCCCGTCTCTACTAAAAATACAAAAATTAGCTGGGCATGGTGGCGCACGCCTGTAGTCCCAACTACTCGGGAGGCTGAGGCAGGAGAATTGTTTGAACCCCGGAGGCGGAGGTTGCAGTGAGCCGAATCGCGCCATTGCACTCCAGCCTGGGTAACAAGAGCGAAACTCGTTTCAAAAAAAAAAAAAAAAAATCAGCTAATTCAATTTCTTATTTTAAGGATAAAGAAGCCAAAACCTAGAGAAGCTAAATACCTTGCCAGAAGTCTTACAGTGCTCCTTTTTCCCATGGATTTTTTGTGGAAGGTGATACTTTTCTCCTCTGTGACTTTTGGCAAACTCTTGGAGCATCTTAAAGACCTTAAGTATTCAGAGACCCTTCCTTCTTAATCAGTATGAACTAAGGATCTCTATTTCTGTAGGAGATCAATACGGCCTATACAGTTCCTAAATTGCTGGTTAGTTTTCTAATTTTTCTGGAATTAGGATATATCACTTTTATACTGAGAAGAAAAAAAAGAAATGTGTGGTAGACAAAAAAATGCCCCCCATTAAAGATGCCTATGTCCTAATACTTCTTTCCTTTGTAATGGAAGGAAAAAAGGAATAGACACAGGCAGTTTTATAGATTTGGTTATAATAAGATGAAGGAATTAACATCTAGAGGTTCCTCTGCACACACAGTGAATTATGAGATGACATCAATTATAAGGGGTAGGGTGGAAAAGCCTGTAGAGTTGAGGAACATGAAGAGACAGTGGTTTATAGTAATGTAAAAATAGACAACTAGCAGCCACTGAAAGTTTCTAAGTAGGGCAGTAATATCTCTGCAGATTGTGATAAAAATATGCTTAAGCAAGATGGTTTATTACTGTGTAACTCTTGCATTCAAGGGAAAATGTGGCTGAAAGAAATGAGAGCAATTTTAAGGTCAACCTTGAAAATGGTTAAAGTTTGGATTTCCAGATTATAACCATACAAATGAAAAAGAAGGAACAAATTTGAGAAATCATATAAAAGAAGAATTAGCAGAATCTAGACAAAGGTTTGAATGCAGAGTTGAAAGAGAGAAAAGTTCCTATAATATATATGTGAGTAGCCATTTTCAACATAGCACATTCAAATTTCATGTATCCAGCAATTTATATCATTACCTTTTTTACATTTGTGATAATAACCACTATGATTATTTCTCTCTACCTGGTACTTTTCTGCCAAAAAGTTCTGAGTGCTTTCCAAAATGCTTTACCTTTTAACCTTTCCCCATTAAAGTCAAATAGAGAATATTCCAACGAGTTCCGAAGCAAATCAGTCAAACATAACCATAATTAGCAAGCAGATCTTTTTACATCCAAGGGTAAAATACTGCCTATTTAAGAAGCAAAAATAAGAAGCAAAAACTGTCCTAGAATACAAACCTTAAGGAAAACCTACAGAGTGAATTTTCTCTTAGCCTCCAAATAACAAATAACTCATTCTCTAGCAGCCAATTTCTGGAAGTTGTGTTGACGAATGAACCAATGTCTGTGAGATACTTTAAGGTCCTACAAAATAAATATATAAAATACATTGATTCTTATTATTTGAGGTAGTTGCATTCTATAAAGTTGCCATGAACACTAAATTTGCCAACACTGAACCATTGCTCCTAGGAAAGATACAGGGTTAGGTGTATGTGATTTTCAGCATTTGTGTCAATAGATAATCTTGTTTTATGTGTACTTCTGTTTAAAGACATCTTATTTAATGAATTTTTAATACATTATCATTAAATCCAAAGTCAGCAGTACTATAACTCACGTCTGAACTAAACTGATCTAACACACATTTTCTCAGTAAGACACATTACAGCCTTTTTGGGCTTACGAACATTAGACAACACTTTAGCATGACACCTGGGGACCATTTTACATAGCGCCATCACTAAAAAAAAAGAATGAAAATTTAAAAAATGTATGGCACTAAACAGATTATGAACAGGATACTTGTTTACAGTATGAGGGATGAAACAGGAAGGCAGAGCATTGTCATGTTTGGACTCAGCTCTGTAGGTCTTCTTTAAGGTTTGTATTCTAGGATAATCTTTGCTTCTTGATTCATGTCAGGTGACCAGCTTGGCCAGCATGGTGAAATCCCATCTCTACTAAAAATATACAAAAACTAGCCAGGTGTGATGGCGGGTGCCTGTAATCCCAGCTACTAGGGAGGCTGAGGCAGGAGAATCGCTTTAACTTGGGAGGCAGAGGTTGCAGTGAACCAAAAACGTGCCATTGCACTCCAGCCTGGGTGACAAGAGTGAAACTGTCTCAAAAAAAAAAAAAAAAAAAAAAAAAAGAATGTAAAGAATGAGGTTGAATGAGGAGATTTAGGTTGTAAAGAATGAGGAGGTAAAGGCCTAAACACAAAAGGAATTATAAGCTAAGAAATTTGAATTTTATTCTATGTATAATGGGTAATATTAAAGGATTTTAAGCAACAGAGTAACATGATTTACATCTGCTACTGCGTGGAAAATTGATTACAGACAGGCAAGACGGGAAGACCAATCAGAAAGCTGACACAGTAGATTAAGTGCAAGATGATGATAACTTGCAATAGGTTGATAGGAAAGGGGAAGAAAAGCAAGCAGATCTGAGGTATCTTAAAGGCAGAACTCATAAGACTTGCTAATGGATTGGAAGTAGGAGGTGAGGAAAAAGAAATAATGACTTCAATTCTAGTTTGAACAACTGGGTTAGAGGTGATTTACTAAGATGAGAAAAATTGGGGCAGGATGAAAGATACGTTTTATGGGAGAAATAAAAAATTCCATTGTGAACATGTTAAATTTAGAATATGAAACATTTATGTGGACACAGTAGATATATAGACAGGTAGATGTGAAAGTCTGGAGCTCAAATAAGAGGTCTACACTGGGGACAGCTTGACTGGAAGCTGTCAAGCTCAGGGTGGCAGGTTTGGGTTTTCCAAAATTCTAATTTTCACTTGAAAGCTTAAATTTTATCATTGACAACAAATACTGTCAGTTTCCTTGAGACAGGCTCACTTTGTTCATTTTCAAGAAAATATCTGCCAGATGCCCAAGTCTGAATAACCAAGGTCTGTCTGTCAAGTAAAAGTGATATGCGATTTAAAAAAAGGAGGCTAGTGCAATTTGCAACTCATACAATCGTGAATGCTTTCTCTCGAGACAACCATCATATTTCAGCATGCAGCCAAAGTACTTTATATGTACTTCCTATTTCATTAAAAAAAATTATACTCTAGGAGTGATATTTAATAAAACTAATCATTTTAGTGGCTTCATCAAAAACATTCTAATTGAAAATGGAAAAAAAGATGTTAACTGTAAGTACACACCAATGATGAATATAATGATAACTAATAGTTATTAATTACTTAACCTATCATTGCTTATGTACCATTAGTGCAAAATGTCATCAATACAATAGAAAAGGCAAACATCTTAGTATTATTATGAAAATGGCTCTGACCTCACAGACCCTGTAAAAAAGGATATCAGGACTCCCAGGAGTCCATGGACCACATTTTGAGAACCACTGCTTTAAGAGGTGGTGGGAGACCATTGCAAGATCTGGTAATTAACAAAAGCTTTGTGGAGAAAGAAGACATGAATGCTTTTTACCTGCAAAGGGGTGCCTCAGAAGGTCTTCTCTTCAGGAAGGTCTTCTAATAAATTTTTCAAGACCCAATCCTCCATAGCCTCTATCATTGCCAATGGGGATTTCCTTTTCACCTTTCCCTTTTATTCAGGGGTTTTTGAGGTCAAAAGCATTTTCATAATAATACTAAAATGTCATTTGTCTTTTTCACTTTTCATTCTCTCATGAGTGTGGAGTGGAGTTTTCCAGAGCCTATATCTGTGACGATGTCATCACTCTGCTGTCTAAATGGAATGTGTGTTTGTATATTTTTGTGTTTTCTAAAGGTTTTCAAGGAGATTGGTTACAGTATGAATAAAAGTGTTTTCTGCTTATGATTTTGACTATGTTCCTGCTGTTATATCTGCTATAAATTTTGTAACTTCACTATCATCCAATAAATTGCTATTTTTTAAATCCAACAGTGTTCCTTATGCCTATGTGAAACATAAAAAGTAAGTGTATATCTTTGACCTGTTTTAAAATAAAATTCCAAACTTTTTTTAACTTTTATAAATGTAAAATTTTTATTTAAAGCTGTTATTTTAGGATTTAATGATATTCTAGAATAAAATAAAGTTTATGCTATTTCTAATACTTAAGGATGATCTGTTTGCTTTAAAAAAAAAAATTAGGCTAGGCACAGTGGCTCATGCTTATAGTCCCAGCATTTTGGGAGGACAAGGTAGGCATATCACCTGAGGTCAGGAGTTCAAGACCATCCTGGCCAACATGGTGAAGCCCGGTCTCTACTAAAAATACAAAATTAGCCGGGCATAGCAGTGCATGCCTGTAATCCCAGCTACTCAGGAGGCTTGGGTTCAAGCAACTCATGGGTAGGAGAACTACCTGAACCCAAGAGGTGGAGGTTACAGTGAGCCAAGATTGTGCCACTGCACTCCAGCCTGGGCAATAAGAGCGAAACTCCATCTCAAAAAA